ATTGAGAAAAACAAAGAGGGAGGGAAGAAGATTGAAGTAGAGAATTTACCTATCGCGTAGCTGAGCTCACAATGGCTGCAAAGCCTCATAGATCCAAGCCTAACTCCCTCTCTTTTTCCTTTCTTCTTCCTCTCTCTCTCTCTCTCACGTGTTCGTTTTCTTTCTTTCCTTCTTTCTTTTCAATTTCTGCATCTGTTTTCCCTTTTAAATTGCTGATATTAGACTTTGAAAAAAATTACAATAAAGGGCCCAACTTTTTTTATTATAGCATAAAAGCCCAAGTCAACTTTGGTAACTTTTTTCATAGTTAAAAATCAAATAAAACCAAACTTTTGCTTAGTAAAATTAAAACTCCAGACCTCTATCAATTTATTCTAAATTTTAATTTAATTATAGATATTATATTTTATTTTTTAAAATAAATTCAAGTCTTAAAATTTCAGGATGTTACATATTCGATCCCCTTTTCCTGTCTTTTAGCCCACCTAGGTTGTGAATTGGTCATAAACTCTACATATACTAGATCAAGTATAGGAGCAAGAGTTGGTTTTGCAAACCATAGGAATGGTAATGTTTGACATTTATACTTATCATGTAGAACTCAAACCCAAAGACAATTAGGCTTCATAATGATACCCTAGCAAAGCTTCATAATATATGCCATGTTTTGACTTTTCAATTTTTTGAAGCCAAGGCCACCATGCTTAGTATCCTTGGTGATATAATCCTATGATAAGAGGTTTAGTTTCTTGGAGCCATCAGTAGAATCCCAAAGGAAGTTACAAGAGTGAGTTTCCATATCAGATAAGATATTATTAAGTAAGGCCATAGTCTACATAATATAGTTAGGAATAGAGGATGGAACCGATTTTATGAGAACAGCTTTCTCAGCAGTATGAGATAGCAACTTTTCCAACTAGATAGTTGAGAATTGATTCTCTCAAGAAAGGGAGTGAAAGTTAGTTTATAAACTCTTTCATGTATAATAGGAATCCTTAAATATTTGCCAAGGTTTTTGGTCCTTGGGATTCCTAATTCTTCACTGATCTGGATGACTCTATTGATATTAACATTCTTAGAGCAGAAAAGCTTAGATTTGGAATTGTTGACTTTCTGTCTTGAAGCTTTACAGAAGTTATCAAGGCATTTTTGGATATTCCTTGCTTGGTTAAGGGATGCCTCTAAAAAGAAATAAGTCATCAGAAAAAAATAGGTGAGAGATAGGAGGGCCATTAGTAGTTAAGCTAATAGGCTTCCAATCCCTTTTGTCAATGCTACTAAATATGCTATGACTCAATCTTTCGATATAAAGAATAAAGAGATGAGGTGAAAGAGGATCTCCCTATCTAATTCCACGTGTCAAAGTGAATTCATTAGTTAGTTCACCATTCCAAAGAACTTTCATATGAGTGGTAGTGATGGCTGCCATAATGAGTTTTCTAAATTTTTTATTTAGCCCAATAATATGAAGAGTATCATCAATAAAATCCTAAAGAGTGTTTATCAAAAGCTTTTTTGAGATCAATTTTGAGAGCCAAGAATCCCTTTCTCCTAACTTTTTTCCCCATAAAGTGAATAATTTCTTATGTGATGATAATATTGTCACTGCTCTGTCTTCCTTAAAGAAAGCTACATTGACTGTCCTCAATTAAATGATTCATATATTGTCTCAGCTTGTTGAAGAGAAGTTTAGTAATTATCTTGTAGCTGACATTGCATAGAGATATTAGATGAAAATCCTTCATAGAATTTACCTTATCATTCTTAGGGATGAGGGTTATGAATATGTCATTAATCTCACTAAAACTAGTAGGATCATTAAAGATCTTCATAACCAAATATATAATGCTATCTTTGATATTGTTCCAATAGCATTGAATGAAGCCAGCATGAATACCATCAGGACTGAGAGCTTTAAAAGCTCTAATATCAAAAGCAACATTTTTAATTTCTTCTTTAGTAATGTCTCTATAGATAAGATGCAGTTGTGTGGAGATTAGAGGTGGAAAGTTCCTGGCGATTGTTAATATAGGTTTGGCCTAAGCATCCTCCTTAAACAGGTTCTCAAAATAAGAAGCAACTTGATTTTTAAGGATATAGTGACCTTGGAACCAGTTACCATCTTCATCCTGAAAAGATAATATATGATTCCTTTTCTTGCTAATGATGGCAATAGTATGGAAGAATTTAGAATTTCTATCTCCCCATTTTAGCCATTTGCATATGAACTTTTGCTACCAGATGAGTTCTTCTTGGAGAAGAGTTTTATTATAATCTTCCTAGAGAGATTTTTCAAGTTTTATAAGAAAGTAACTATCTTTAGAATTTTGATTGCGATCAATTCCTTCCATTCTTCTCAGAATCCTTTTCTTGTTTGCAGAGATGTTTCCTGTATTATTTTTATTTCACAAAGTGGCAGAGGTGTCAAATTTAAAGACACCTTCAATCCTGTCTTTTTGAACCCAAGAATCTTTGACTATACGCTGAAAGGAATCTTCAATCATCTAAGCAGCATGACATTTAAAAGGTGTTTCTTGAGCCCTGTAATTAACTATATCCTCAAGTTGGATTCTAATCAGGCGATGATTAGAGTCATATTTAAGGAGGTGGAAAGAATTAACTTAATTTAATTAAATTTTAGTCTCCATTCTGTGTTGCAAAAAGCACCAGTCGAGTCTTTCTTTAACGTTTCCTTTCTACCAAGTGAATCTATCACCCTCATAATTAAGTTTAAGGAGATTAGAGGAGTTGACACATTGTTTGAATAATTTCATAGATCGCTAATTGTATCTAAATCACCCATGGCAAGCCAGGGATCAGATTAGAGCTGGGAATAAAGGCCAACCCTGGAGGGTCAGGCTTGTAGGCCCTACTTAAATAAGGGTTCAGACTTTAAAAATTATTTTTTTCAAAGGAATTGGGCTTGAGGGCCTAGCCCTATAAAAAGGGCTTAGGCCTGGGCAGCCCTTCAAGCCCTTCAAGCCTGGTTATTACACACACACACACACATATTTAATTGATAATGACATAATTTAGTTAATATTTATTGTAGGTGATCAATAAGAAGTTGTAAAGCTAATTGACATTTAATTTTCACCTCCATCTTCAATAAGTACACTTACATTCGAGGAATCTAATGTTTTATTGGTAGATGATAAGGATAAGAAGGATTTGGGTTTTGATTGATAAATGTGTGTTGTTTAGATTTCTAAATATATTGTTTAATTTTTAAAATATTGTGTGGATTTTGATTTTTTTAATTTTAAAATATTTTAATTAATTTATAATGTTTTATTTTATTTTTTATTTTATTTTTTTTGAACAGGGCTTTTGAACCCAGCCTGAGCCTTTATATAAGAGCCGGGCCTAAAAAAAGAGATTAAAAATGGATAACCGGGCTCAAAGGCCTAGGCCCTTAAGGGTCGGGCCTGCCCATATTCCCAGCTATATCTTTAGATATGATGATATTTAATTTAAAATATTTAAATTATATTTTTTTGTTTATTTTTCTCTCGTCCGCGTGTAATCGTGCATCATGCATTCCCATTCACGCTCAAAAGAAGGGAAGGTGAAGGACTCTCCCTTATTACACACTCGTTCGTGTGCAGTCATGGATTTTTTGAGCACGCAGACATTCATAATTCCAGGGGAATGCTTTTCCTTTTTTTTAAAAAAAAAAAATTCATGCCTAGTAGCTTCGCATCTCCTAGAATCTTTTGTCTTTTTCTACACATGCATGAGATTTACTACTTCTTTCCTTTTCCTTAGATAATTACGTATTCTCTTTTTCTTTCTTTTATTTAACTTGTTATTTTTCTCTCGCAAAGTAAAAAAATAAGAACCTAAGTAGATGTTGTATCAATTTTTTTTATCTTATAATTAAGTGATAGAAGGAAAATATTGTAATAACCTTAATATATATAATAAATAAGAATAATAATAAATATATAATAATTTGTTTAGATAATTCTTAGGTCCTTTTAACGCGAACCCTTATATTAGTGATATAAGTGCCTGGCTAGTCAAACTTGGGGAACTTTTTTAGCGCATTCTTGACACTTACTAAGTTGTTTGATGTAAAGGCTGACGTTGGTGAGTCTCTGGTTATTAGGCTCATTTGGCATCAGTGAAGTAGATACTCAGTATTTATTACATTTTTCTCATTTTTCTCATTTCCTTTTTCTTTGTGCATGATCATTTTGCTTTTTAACTACTTTGCAAGGTGTTAGCTTTCTAGGCATAGACGTGAATAAATAAGACAAATAATTCATGCATTAAGTTTATTTTTGATAAACTCCTATGGGGTCTTGGCTACTTTAAATTCTTTCTCAAGCACACAATCGCCCTCAACAGTTAGACAGCTAAATAAAATAGTGCAAATAAACAAAAATCTTGGAAGAAATTTTCAAAATTTTCATGAATAAGGCCAACTACAGCATGTACATTGCAAAGGAAATAACAATATAAGCAATAGGAAGCTATCATAATAGACTCTCCCTCAAACTTAAGATGTCAGTGTCCTCACTATAAAATTTAAAACGAAATCAAAATAAGAGACGAAGGTAGTAGACAATACTTCTCTGGATTAAGTGCGAGGTAGAGTGATCGTGGTCCTTCAAATGACTTCTCGTCATCTGTCTAGCCTAATTAAATAGGATTGCTAAAACAAAATATAGAAAATAAAAACAAATTCAAAAGAGTAACAAATGAAAATAGTTAAAAGAATTGGGAAAAAAAAATTGGGTCAGATAGTCTTATTGCATGTATCAAGGGGCACGATCCAAGGGTGAGAGGGGTACTTATTCTTGCAAGTTGCAAATATTATCCTCAAAGACAAGGAGTTTAGTAGCCTTAGCAAATTTGAAAAAAAAAATCTTTTTTCTTGCCTACTTGAAAATTAATTCTCCCTTAGGGACATTAATCATAGCTCGTTCAGTGGCTAGAAGAATGGAATCTATGGGCAAGTAAAGGTTACTGACTTATTCATAGTCAATTGTACTTTAGATAACAGAGGCCCTCCGTGCATCAGATGACTGATCTCTGATAAATATAGCAATAAGAGGGTTATCATCAGTGATAACCAAACGCATAATTCCATCATGGCTTCGGGAAATCCTAAGATCTCTACAAGAATCTTGAACCAACCCTGCAGAGTTTTCTCATACTCGCTGATTTTCATGGATTGTATCCCATCTTCTCCTTCAACAATAGTCCACTTGGACGGCACAGGAACACATGATGGTACTTTCCCCTCAACAAAGAAGTCCACATTAATGCTTCATATGATGTATCTAATTTTTAATGGAGACGTCACTGCACAAGGCAAGCCGTAGTCGATATCAATGGTATGAGGTAGTTGCACAACATTGAGAGGGCAAGTTTCATTTCCAGTATTGGCGAGATCTAAGCCACCTCCTAATGGTCAGATATGCGGAAGGATGTTATATGCGGCACCATTCTTAATAGGTAGCCTTGACTATCAAGGAGAAACTTGGCTGTGGTTGAAGAAGTGAAGAAGGCAAAGAGAACAAAGAGGGAAAACAAGGAAGGCTACATTATATTGAATGTTGAGCTTTTGTTTCTTGGGATGTGTTGTCGTGTGGAAATGAGAGGATGGAGGGTTCTATTTATAGATCTTACTACTAGAAAAAGGAAGGGTAGTTTCGATATTCACCTCTGCAAGTTGACCCAAAGAGCCAATTGAAGATATATCACATTTTGGAATGGGCACAGGCATGTGAATTCTAGACTTGTAGTTTAGAATCCAAATTATGGAAGCAAGACGAGGGGAAATGTTTTACCTTTTAGGTGAGGCGGAGGTACAGAAGGCTGACTAAAAATATATTGGTATAGAAGAAGGAGCCAGTCCTTTACAACATGATAAACTAATGTTCAAATTTTTGTTAGGATAGATAGCCACATTTATTGCCCGATTGTGCCTTGAATATAACAGCCTCTGATAGAATGAGACATATTTTAATTAATGAAAATATAGGTATAGATTTTATAGTTTAAAGAGTATTTATACATATAAGTATGTATTTCGAACTAAAGTGATTGGGTATGGTTTAGTAAAAAAGGTTAGTTCCTTATAATGTGATAAATTAAGGTTTAAATCTTTGTTGGGAGGAGTATGATGCCCACATTTAGGTGTGGTTTGAATGGAGGAAAAAGTGAGAAGAAAATAAGGGGAAAAAAAAAAGAAAACTATATATGAGGGAAAATTTTCTAAAATAGTTATTTAATTCTTTTTGGAAGTTTTCTTATATAATTTTCTCTTCTTATTTTTTTCCCATCCAAACTAAGGGTTAGTGCTCGACCAATCTTCATCATGATAATACATGTACGCAATAATATAAAAAGAAATATGTATTTATAAATTACTTTTCAATAAGATTTTAATGTAGTAATAGTACTAAGCATTTAAAAGAGTAATTTATACGAGAAATTGGGGATAAAAAACATATGGGTGAAAATTTTGAAAGGAAGTACCAATCATTGAAGGTTCTTAAAGGTGCATTGCACACATGTAATTAAGCTTAAAAAATTATCAATGCAAATACTTCAAGTTCTCTTAAAATGCGATTACAGATTTTGAAATCAGCAAAGATTTTTAAGTGATAGTCTCTTGGTAAATTTGCAATGATTTTTAAGTGCATTGCACATCTCTTAATGATTTCTTGTTAAACTATTAATGACAACTTTTTAGCAAGCTAATGTTTAATAAGTAAAAATTTCTAATTTTCAAAAGCATAATGAAACTTGTTAGTTTAGTGAAAATCACTTGTGAATATACTAACGTTTTCTTGTCACTTTAGTTTCCAAATCATTTAACTTGAGTAAAGTTATAATTTTATTAATGTTTAGTTGTCAATTTACCAAGAGAAACTTGCCAAGGTTAACTATGTCTTCATATGATATGAAACGTACTTGTTAAAGGCTTAATGAGACTTTGTCATTTCATTGACATTTACTTGTCAATTTATTATTACTTACTTATATATGTGAGTTATCGCCAGCGACTGTGGTATGAGACGTTTTCTTAAAAAAAAAAAAAAAAAACAGTGAAGGAGAGTTTAGTATTTTAGCAACTAAATTTAATTCCATTTAAATTCCTTGTTCTTGTACATTATATTCAGAATCATTTGATTCCTTATAATAAGGTGCTTCTGTGATTCTTGGATGCAATTTTGCTTATAAATTACTCGTCAATAAGATTTTAATGTACCAATAGGACTAGCAATAATTATCATCATAATAATTTGTAGGGAAAACTGGGGATAAGGAATAAAAACGTGAAAAATTTGAAAGGAAGTACCAAGCATTAATTGAAGGTTGTTAAAGGTGCATTGCACATATGCAATTATGCTTCGAAAATCATCAATACAAAGTCTCCCATGCCACTCCTTAAACAATCATAGATCTCAAATCTTGCAAATGATTTTCAAGTGCACTGTCATTTCTCCTGTACTTTTCTTTAGCTCTGTTTTTTTTTTTTTCCTTTTTCACCATGGTATTTTTTTTTAATTAAAAGGGATCGTATTCAAGACACTCTTCAGTATTAAATGTGAGAATTTTTTTTAATAGTGATTTGAATTTTAATTTATCACATTGTGAAAGACTAATCCTTTTTACTATGCCTAACCTTATTGGTTCTTTAGCTCTATTTTGCATACATATATTTATTTATTTTCATGAAAATAAAAATATGTAAGAGAAAATAATGAGACAAACAACATTAGAATAAATGGAGATGAAGAGTACAAAAGAGAATTGGAGGGTAAGCAAGAGGTGATTTCCATTCACTTTGATTTGTAAAATATATGGTAAATAACTTCTATTTATGGGCCTCCAACTCTATCTAGGACTTTCATTATTGGAATAAATTACAAGATGAATCAACATAAATATGCTCTATTTAACCTTTGATTGTATGATATGTAACCATTGAATTTTTGGGGATTAAACATAAAAAACATTGCTAAAAACAATTTATTGGAGAGGTTATGGAGTATGTCATAGCACAATTTAAGAGTTGGGATTGGGATAAGTTATGGACATACGCAAACACTACTCTTTAATTGTCCATGAACAAATAATGTCTCATTAAAATTTTATTAGAAAAAAAAACCTATAAGGCAATCTTAATAAATGAAAAAGAATATACTGTATATTGAAGTTGCATTATTAAAACCTTAATTATAAAAAAAATCTAATAGAACGAAAACCTTTGGCAATATCTCTCCTTTTAATGTATTTCAACAGAGTCTTGTTATTTCTTTTTAAATATAATAATAAAAGATATAAATAAATATGTGTGTCTATAATTTGTTTCGAGCTTTTTTGAAAAAAAAAAATTGTGGAGTCAAGTGTTTAGATTGACTAGAATATATAGATAGGGCAAGAACTAAGAAGTTACATAGATAGTCTTAATCGTAGGTTTCGAATTATCTCTCTCTCTCTCTCCCTTCCTCCCTCCCTCTGTAGAAAACATACTTTTAAATCTCTATATTTTGTTCACGTTCTACTAGTAATTCTTGTATTTTTTTCAGTATTTTTTCTTTTTATATTTTTATTTTTTAGTATTTTAAATCTCTCTATGAATAAAGTATAAGAATTTTAAAAGAATTTAAAATAATAAAAAATAAAAGTACAAAAACCTAAAGTTATATTTTTCTTATATATATATATATTATATTTTAGCTGGTGAACTTAGAATAAAAGGTTGGCACTGTACATAAATATCTACATATTTTCAGCTGTCCAGTGATTTTTGTTTTCAACGCGAATCATATGTTACAGCACTTGTGGGCTAGTTTTAATATTTTATCTTCTGGTTGATGGCCTTATTTAGGCCAGCAAAAGGGCCTCTTCTTAAATTAATATATTGGGCTTGTCTGGGCTTTCAGGTTTAGATAATCAAAATTTCATCTTGAGCAGCCGACAAGTCTTAAAGAAAGAATTAACACTAATTAGATTCTGACAAAAAATTTTAAAAACTAAGTTACAAATATTAATTTTGAAAACTCTAAACAAAAATTTGAATTATAATTTAAGAGTTTTATTTATAATTTAAATATTTATTTCGAATTAGTACTTCAAAATTTATAATTATTTGAATTAATATTTGTAACTTATTTTTAAAAAAAAATTTGTCAATGAACTAATTGTCATTAATTTATTTTTTAGAACTTAATTTTCATTCTGACATTTCAAAAGCTCAGTCCCTTATTGTTCACAATACTCCTAAAATAAGATTGATGCATAATTGATAATTTATAAAAGTTAATAAGGAGAATATCAACGAGGGTCCCCATAAGAGAAATTATAGCATGAAGGGGTCAAAGTATTCTGAGATTTCACAAGAGAAATTATAGCATATTTTTAAAAAAAAATACATAAAATATATTAAAAATGTATTAATCCATGAATTTTTAGCTTATTTTATATTGAGAGACTATATATTTGAGTACATTATTATATACATATTTTTAAAAAAAACAATATTAATATTTTCATATTTTTATTATTTTTAGTCTATAAAATATCTTAAAATAATATTTAAAATTTTTTAATATTTATTTTTAAAATTTAAGACTGATATTTTTTAAAAAATTGAGTTTTTACGTTTTTAAAGTATTCTAAAATATATGTTTATATTTTTTATAATAATAAAAATGATTAATTTTCAAGTAAAAAAAATTAAAATTTGTTTTTAAACTTTGAGAAAACTTGACAATTATAGTATTCAGACCAATATGATCGAAACTCAAGAGTTTTAGGGCCAAAGCATATGATGTTTTTTATAAGTTCAGGGTTATTTATGCTTAGTTTATTCAAATGACGGACTCTATTCATGTTCTCATCTCTGTCTCAATGATTTGGCAAATGCTAAACGAACCCGTAATGTGAACATTACCAGAATGTCTTGGTACCAAGTGAATCAAAGTTTCTTGGCTTCACGTTTTCATATCTAGTCCTTCTAAAGGCACTCTCTGCTTCCCAACATCAACTCGTCGTGTTTGGAATTAGGAATGGAAGAGCAAATTAAAAGTCCTATTTGTTGTTTCCCAGTCTTGTCTTCTTTCCTTCTTGATTGTTTCCTGATCTCTTCTTCTTTGTCCATTCTCTAGTTTTTACAGAGATCTTCCTTTACCTTTTGATTTCAACGCGATAGATCCAATCAACCCATCAATTTCACCCGGTTGGGTTGGTTCAATGCCGGGTTAACCGGTTTAAATTTTTCGTAGTCTAACTAATAGCTATATCCTCCATATATACCATTCACTTGGATGTACCAGTCCAATCTGATTTTCCATCCCATGGTATATTGTGTAAATAATTTTTATGGAAAAGACATATTTATAAGTATTGATTACTTAGTACTTAAAAAAAATTCTTAGTACTTACAATGAAAAAGTGTTTGGGCAAATTCTTAGTGGACACACACACATATCTCGTTAGGAGGAGAGGGAAAAGGGGAAAGAGAGAGAAGAGAGAGAGGAGGGGGAAGGAGGAAGAAAGAAGAAGAAGGCTGAAACTTTTGAAATTTCTATGCAATATTAATCAAGAGCTGAATACAAATAAAAAATTCTAACTTTATTTATAGAGTATAAAAATAATAAAATAATAATAATAGTTTGAATTCTAATCCTAGATCCAACTCAAATCTTAAAGATGTTGATATATAAAATAATAATAAAATAAATAATAAATCCTGATTCTGATGGATAAATATTCTTACTTAAATATTCCTAATGAATAACCCTAATATCTAAAAAATCTCTCCCCTCACCACTGCAGGAAGGAAGAATTTTTTTTAATTCCGTTGTGAAGGACATTTTACATTGCCAGGGGAGAGACTTAGAATGAAGGATGGTGGTAAGTATGATCAGTTTACATCGGACCAACAACAAAATCGCTTTTAATAAATTTTTTTTTTAATTTCATTGCATTCATCTTTTGTAATGAATCATGCAACCAATTTAATAAGCACCGAGAAAGGGGAGTCCAAGAGTGCCACTTGAAGCATAATTTTATTAAGTTGTGACCAAGTGCAAGGTATTATAATTATCTAAGTTTCCTGGACATTACTTTTTGATAGTTAATTTAAAACTATATGGTGAAACCGTACGTATAATGCAAACAACTAGGATATTAAAAATGTCACGTGAATGTTCAAGGGATAATAATACACAGTTTTTCCACACAACAAAAAATATAATACTCAGTTTTAATAAATTATATCCTTCCTAATGCAAAGGACAAGTACTGGACGAATCTGAAAAATAAAAAAATGTCTAGAATTTGTCGCATGCAAATTAAAACTGAGAGAGGTTCATTATTTTATTTTGTTATACCCATGTTTGAAACCACCCCTATAGGATAACATGTTTAAAGGAGAAACGTGTCATCCCATGTTATCCAACAAATAAACTAGTTATTTAATATATTATTTATGAAAAATTAATATATTATTCAATTATTCAATATTTAATACATTTCTCAACGAACCAAAACCCATATTTTCGGACTTGGCTTCTTTCCACTTTCTCCTCTCTCTATTTTCTCTTGCCATCTCAACCATTGGATTCATTTTTCAATGGTAGATTTGATACTTCATAAAAATTATTATTTATATAATAATAATATTCTAAAAAAATTGTGAGGCAATAAATTTTTAGTGAGAAGATATAATTACATTGATGCATGCTTAATAGAAAAAAAATAATAGTAGGTTATATAGGGTATATAAGCAATCAATTAATTTTAATGAAAACATGTAATTAACAGTAATGCTGAACGTAAAAAATAATGATTATATAAGGGTATAAATGAACATTTTTTTGAAGCCTAAAGCCACGTTCTTAATGGCCAAGTGGCATGCATGGCCATGCCAAGTGGCTAAATTGCAATTAAATTATTTTAATCAATTACTAAAATACCATTGTAAAATATAACGTAAATTACTAAAATAACACTTCATGTTTTTCTGCGTTATAAACTAAGTCTAAAATTAAGAAGCTTATATAGGGAGAGAGAAGAAAGAGAGAGTTGCTTGAAGCGTAATTTTATTTAATCGTCACTAAGTGTGAGGAATGATCTAAGCTTCCTGCACATTACTTATTCATAGTTGATTACACTTCACATAATAGAGGCTCTTATTTGGCTATCAGATGATCCAGCTTTGACAAACACAACAAACAAAGGGTTTTTTATTAGTGATAACCAAAACGCCTCTTTCCATCAACGTCCTTGGAAATCCCAAGATCTCCACAAGAATCACCATAAATGGGACAGAACACGATCTTATAAGCCCAACTATATACGGGTTGAATCTTGAACCGACCGTTTGGAATGTTCTCGTACGCACTGACTTTCACAGACTTAGTCCCATCTTCGTCAACAACAATCCACTTCGACGGCATAGGAACGCAGCTTGGTACTTTTCCCTAACAGAGAAGAAGTCCAAACTACTGTTGGTTGGGATGAATCTAATTCTTAATGGGACGCAATTCTCCAAGGCAAGCCATTATCGATTTCAGAGGGTGATTGAACAACACTGAGAGGGCAAGTTTCGTTTCCGGTCTTGGTAGCTTCAGGCCACCACCTAAAGCCCAGATATGTGGAAGGATATAGTATGTGCCGCCGTTGATAAGGTCATTGCCCTCAATGTCATGGACGAACTGGGCTGTTGCAGAAGATGATATGAAAGCAAAGAGACCAAGAGAGAACACAAGGAAGGCTTCATTATTATTGCTCTGAGCTTTGGATGTGTTGGCGAGGGGAACCGAGAAGATGAACGGTTCTATCTATGGAGAAAGTAGACAAAAAAATTGAGAGGCACAACCACGTGAACTCTAGACTTGTACCTCTGTTTCCAATAGATGAAAGCAAGAGAGAATATATGATAATAAAAAAAAATTAATTTTTAATTTAATCTTG